ACCAGACTCAGGGCTGCGACACCGTGGTAACTGTTGAGCGTGCCCTGCAAGTCTCCGGGCGTCGCGCTGAATAGACCCCTCTTTTCCCAGCAGCAAAAGCAGCAGCAGGGAAGAAGCAGAAGAGGAGCACAGCAAATGAATTCATTTTGAGCACCTCTTGTCAACTAAAATTGCTCTATAATATCCTATGGCAGAGCTGATCTTTTCTTTGAAGTGAGCTTGAATTCTCCGTTGACACAAATTAGCACCTGTGGCTATTTACTCATATGTCAGCTTAGTATTTTGTTCTGTTTTTCGTGGTGGAATTTTTCATGAGGCCTGAGGAAACTGGAGGTTTTCCAGGCATGACATTAAAAGTGAAATATTATTTTGGTAAATGTGAGAAGAGGATTGGTAAATCCAGAAGACATTTTCCTACATATTCATAGGAATTTAGTTTCCATTTTCTCTTTCAGTCTCATAGAATTTTTGACAAATAAGATTTTCCTACCTAAGTATTTATAGTTTCTACAGCTACTAAGGTCAGAACTGTCTTGACTTGGCTTGTTACAGAATATTTATGCTGTGTCATACCATCTATTTTCTATATGACACTCCAGAATAATAAAATCACTTGGAAAACAATCAAGGCAGTCAATTAATCTCTTTTGACATTTGCAATGCATAGATTTTGCCTTCTAATGTAGTCTTGACTACAAAATCTGTTTTGCAAAACATGCCCCCGCCCCGCCCCACCCCGGAATCTAGACTTCTAATTATTCAAATCATTCTAAAAATCAAAATCTGTAACTTTTCTGGAACCCTTTAAAACCAGCCAATGTATGCTACACACTGATCATCATATGAAACATTTTCCACAGCAGGGATTTATTACAAGGCAGAGCTAAAATTTGTCAACAGGATGTTCTTTAACAATGAGAGTCAAATAGTGACCTGAAATTTCTTATCACTCTGAAACTTGCTTTTTGCCTGTCAATGTGTTTTGGCTCAGCTGATGAAAGTTATCACAGCCAGTTCTGCAGCTGAATCATATCAGTGGGCTCTTTGGAGGCAGCGGTGTGAACAGAGTACTGCTGAATGCCAGCAATTCGGGACTGGCACAGGGGCTGCTGGAAACTTAGTGCCAGTGACGGTCCACCACAGTAGCTGCAGGGCTCCTCCAGCTTAGGCTGAGTGCTGATTGCCCCCTGGCACCCTCAGGAGATGCACGCAGTCCTTCTTGCTGCCTCCTGCCAGCTCAGGCCCCCTTCACAACGCACCTGGGGCCACCCCTACGGATGAGAACATGCGCACTCACCAGACAGCAAAACCACTGTGCCTTCCCCTGCAAAATATAAGAAACAAGGGGGATCTGGTTGGAACTAGTAAAACACAAGCGGCTGTATGAAACAGGGGCCACGTCTTCAGAGCATTTACATGGCTTCTAAAACTGATTTTGACTGCGGGTAGTACTATAAAATAATATTTATCCTGAGTAAGATCACGCTTAAAAAGGGATCCTGTATTTTTTTGCCTTTAGTATTATTTCTAGGCAAAAGTACTGCTTTTGCACTTCCAAAGCATCTGCTGGTTGAATGTATCAATCAACTAAATCTCACGATACTTGGGTAAATCTTAATCCATTAATGAATGCAAATTCAAGGCACAAAAAAGTGATTTCTATAATAATGAATATTAATGAGCATGTATTTCAAGATGACTACATTCCATGTGCTTATAAACTCTTTTTAAGAAATAAACTCATAAGAAATAAAGTAACTTGTGTTTCCGTTACTGTTTTTTTTTTTTTTGAGAAATGAACCTGAATATTCAATTATGGGGTTATTATTCTGTGAATCAGTTTACGGCAATCAGTGGATATAATTTTTAATATGAAAATGTTATTCATGCATATTATAGTTCCAGGCATATATTATCCTTTCCTGAAAGCAATTCAGTCTCCCAGTCTTTATGCAAAAGACTGGCCCGTGGGCTCTGCACAGGATGTAAATTAAGTTCTTGCTTGGCTAAATCCGATTTTCCTGTAGGATACCAATCTTGCTTAGTGACAGTGGAAGTTAAAAACTGCAAGCAACACAGTCCCCTTCAAATGGGGCCAGGAAGGGTCAGCTTCCAAATAACAAATCTGAGGTTTGAACTAAATTTTAATTTTATCACCAAGAATTTTCAGTTAAATATAGAAGCTATCTTCTCAGTAGTTGCTACCATTGCTTTGAAAACTCCTAATGAAACTGAGAAATGCCTTTTTTTTTTTTTTTTAAGATGTACAGTTCATTGTACTCTTATATTCTATCGAAATTAATGCTCCGGCAGAAAAATTCAGTGAATAGCAAAAACCCCACACAGATTATCAGAACATAAGCACCCTAAGCCAATACAAACTATCTAAAATTGTTTGAATATTACCAAAATACTGTTGCTTTATTATGCACTTACTGAGGAGACAGATTAAAAAGGCACATGCTGACACTACTGAATATGAAACACTGCTGTTCCTTCTGACAGGATTAGCTAAATACCTAAATTATAAGAACACTCCCCTGTATTTTTCCTATAGTCAGAAAATGTGCACAGAAAAGTCACTCCTTGATCTATTTCACCAGCTTCAGCTACTGTAGCAGGCCTCTGAATACATAAAAAATTTATTTTTAGTAGTCTGTGGCAGCTCCTTATTCTTCCTTTGATGTATAAAGGATTTATGATCAATAAGCTCTGAAAGCAGCTGGCATTATTACAACTGCTCCGAGTCAAGAAAAAAATATCAAAAGTAATGCAACACCGGCAAAAATAATATGGCTTTTGCTGTTCAAAAAATGTAATTATCTCCGTAAATGTATGTGGTTTTGGTAATGAGACTCAAAATTTCAGATAGTTTATTTTTAATAACATCTTTTCACAGAGGCTTTATTAGATATTCTAAATCAGAGCTCAACACTTACCTAACAGATAGCTACCTCACTCCTTCAATAGGCTTTAGGTGAAGGGACCCAGCACCCCACACAGAATCTTAATGAAGGCAATGCCGTAAAGGCGTGAACTTCACCTACAAGCAGCTCGGAGCAGAATCCTAGTATGATCCATCGTATGCTGATTAGATTATTTTTGGGTGACCAACACTAAAATTACATGTTCAGAAAACAGTTTTAACTGTGAATTGACTGAGGCACAATCCAAACCCCCCATCTGAATTCCCACATCTCCCCTATGCCAACAGTAGAACACTTATATCTGCATGACGAGACGTATTAATTCAACTGACATCTAACATTTTTTTCCTTGGATTAGTTCTAGTAGTGAATCAATTTCCTGATCTGGTTCATTTTTTGACACAAAAACATCTGTGTTAATAGAAGCGGGGAGCTCAGAAGATGAAAATCTTTTGATTGACCTCTACCCACTCAAAGCGTATGTGAAACTACCTTAGGGATCTTATGCGTAGACTGTCAGAACATATGGCTATCAACCACCAGTCCGCTGGGGTTCTGGTCTCTGCCTTTCAGGGATATTTTCTGACATTATCCAATCATTCTTTTACATTGGAACTATTTATTAAAGTGTGCATTGTGGTCAAAGCTTAGATACTGTAAGATATGATTTACTGTAAAGCCCTGAAGAATTACGTTACATACCCACAGTAGTCTATTGCAAAAATTTATTTTCCTAAGGAAACATGGCATTTTGTAACTTTTTAATAAACATATACCTTTTATGGTACTGAGGCAGTAAATAACATTCACAAATAATATTTTCCCAGAAGTGTTGGTTATCACCTCAGCAAACACTATTAATGACTGTTTTCATTTGCTAATAACACAACAGTTAAAACCACAATTCAGTGACTGTTTAAGCCCCAATGATGATACCATCGTTGCATGAAACAGTGTGATCCACTACTATATCATTAATATTTATTTCGTCTTGCAAAGGAATTATTACAGTTGATACTGACAAAGCTTTCTGCTCCAGCTGAAAAAGCTTGTGCATAAATCATGTCATGTTTAGACACGAAAAACAGGTCAATGGCTACTGAGCTGACATTTCCAAAAGCAGAATCTTCCCTACAGCATAGCTTTAGGAAAACACGCTTCATTTGACAACATACATCCTTTTTAACAGAATCCTCTTACTAGGTACTGTATCAAAAAAATCATTTAACTGCATAAATGGACAGGGAGAACATTCTGAGGAATGGAACTTCTTTTAAATTACAGATACATGGCATAGCATTTTAAGACTTCATTTAAACCAAACCCCTTCCGACGATGTTACATACCTTGAGGCCAGAAAAATCTCCCTCAGGCAAGTTCTTTTGAGTGCCTCAGAGAAATCGGTGAGAACTGCATATTTTTTTGAAAGAAATGAACGAGTAGAAAGCAGCGCATATTAGTACTAATGTCCTCCTCCATACAACCAAGTATCAGTTTCCTTTTCTACCAAGATTAAGTGACTGGCAATGCATCTGTTTTATTGCTGAGCAACGAAAATCTTTACCAATCATAGGTTAGAGGAACTCTTGTCCAATGGGGGCATGTTTCTTTTAATTAAAATTATCTAAGAAGATCCTATTGCATTAGTAATTTATATGAAATCGTATCTTAAATCTTTATTAAAAATAGGAAATAATCACACTGAAAAGAGGATTATTCTACATTGATTGCATATATACTCACAAATCATACTTGTTCCTTCAGCTATGTTGTATTACTTGTGGATAGCTACTGCCCCAGACAGACAACTGCTGCAAAATGAGGCGTTTTTGTCTTTATATACTAACAGGGCTGGTGGAGGCATCATTCTCTGACCCGAGTTCAGGTCCAGCATACTGAATCACATGTTATTTAGGAGCTATGACTCTGTGGTAAAAACGTGACAGTTGCGATCCCTTCCATTTAATGTAAATGAGGAACAGCTTTTGGTAGTTTTCTTAGTTGTGTTTTGGTTGGAAAATATTTTAGATATTCTTGGAATAAAAGGTAAAGGAAATCTACATAGTGATTGTCAATTAAGATCAATGGCAACTTTTATTTACATAGTTTAACGAACAGATTCAAGCAATTATTACATTAGTCATTCAGATTCTGAACATCACAAGTTTATAGCAGGCCTAGCTAGTGTTGCATTCTTCATGGAGCTGTGATCACTAATTTCCAACATTTTTCTTTTTCCAACGAAGCCACCTCAGAGCTCTCACCAGTGCTACTTGTCCCATGAGGAATGTGATAGTAAAGTTACGTTTATACCAATCTCTAGGATTCCAAAGCCAGGAAAATCATCAGCACACAGAACAAGAACAGAAGAAAGGCACACAATTATATGAAAATATCCTTTGGCATTGACAAGTGACAATTCAGTGACAACATGCTTTTCCATTCTTTGTGGCAACACTTTCCCTGCTTAATTAGAATTAAATAACCTATGAAAAGGTCTATGTGAATATCCACATCCATGAACAGATTACATGTAGACTACAGGGCTACAACCATTGAGAGCTTAACTGGAAAAAAGTTAAGGGATGGGTATTTTTATGACCAATCGTATTTGGAATCAAGTAAGATAAAATAATTGTAACCATATCTCATGTTTCAGAAGTAAAGCTGATCATCAAGCTATCCAGAAGAATTTCCTGCCAGTGCTGTGCTATGGGTAGGATTTGTTTGTGCGTGTATGAAGATGTGTGTGTTGGAAAGGGCGCAGTTTGTCACCTATGGGGGGGGGGGGGGATAAAATAAAATGACACTTCAAAGACTAATTATATAACCCAATACAGGAAACATTAGGTTTCTAATGCAGTACCCTTTAAAGATGATGCCTTTAATATTGCCAAAGTTAGTGTTTATATCTTCAGTTTTTATGCTGCATGCGTGATTTCTGGAGCCAATTCAAGATATAGATAAGATAGTCTGTATCAGCCCTTTTTAACCTCTGAGAACTTGCTTCAGATTCTTGCCCGTTACAAACTAATTTCACAATTTCTTTCTAGTTTTCAACACAGATCACTCCCCCATTTTGTAAAATGCTGCACAAGAAGCAATAGAATACACTTATTGTAGAACTAGCAGGGAATATTAAACACTGGGATTTAGGTCTTCTCTAGACATCTCTGAGGGAAACCTTGCATGTACAGATCTAACATAAACCTCAGCTACTAACCTCTCAGTAAGGATAGTAGCCAAAATCATGCTGACAAGCAGCACTGAGCTACCCCCTCAAATGTCATGTTAAATCAAAATAGCATGCTAACATTGCAACTGTGTCTCTTCCCCTTTCATGTCTCATTTCCTATATCCTTCTTGAATTTTTTTTTCCTAAACTAGACTGTATTTCCAGTCTAAGCACCCTGAACTAAATATTCATGGCGTCTACGCACAGTCATTGCTTCAATTTTAACTAGATTTTAGAAGTTGCAACACTTCAGCGGCCACAGTTTTCAGGCCAGCTGGCAACACTGCAAAAGAACATACAGCTGAACGCATAAACAGTTTTTTATAAATACGAGCCCTCAAAATCAGAATGCCTGTAAAAAGCTCCACAGCTTTCAGGGCTGTGCAGTTCCACTTTGAAACTACAATGATGCAGCTTACACCACCTGATTTTACAAGGCAGCAACAAGGAAGGTCATGTCTAGCCACAAAGCCTGAAGTCGTACGGTGAAGATGGGACACTATCCCAAGGTCACAACAACAATGGCATCTGGTGATCAGTTCCAAGATAAACTATTTGCTTTGTCATCAGTTATAGGCAATTTGAACAAAAATCCTCTTATTAAAAAGAATTTTTTACTTTCCACCTTTTCATGCTGTTGCTTAGGTTTTTGGTGAGGTTTCCCCCCCACCCCATGGGCAAGACAAGATGTGCATATTTGTTTTAAATATTTGTTACCATAAAATTGTTCTTACAGTACACTATGTTACGATATATGCACAACACGTACAAAGAACCCTAAACCACAATGTGTTATAGATCAGTTATAGCGATGGTAGGACTTTCACTAGCGTTACACCATTAGGAACCCAATAACGTTTGACACCTTTGAGCCCAATAATCTTTCAGTCCAATACAGAGAAGAAACTGAGGTACTGGATTAAGTACTATCCTCCTCCAGCTTCCCATTACTTCCTCATTTCTAGCCTTCTACCAAGCGTGCACAGCTACTTGCAGAGTAAGGTGCGTTTGCAAGGCGTTTTTCAGTTGTTTCATACCCCCAATCCAGTTTATCAAGTTGTTGTACAAACAGTAACACAAACAATGCAGTAGATGTTGTAAAGAGGCACGGTGGTGCGAGCTTACCCTGTTGTAGCCAAGGTTCTACACAGGATTAGTTCAGGCGATCATTTTACTAATGCTTCGCCACACAAAAAACCCTCAAACTCAAGGCTAGTCACTTTCATTTTTACTATAGGCTTGCAAAATAATAAAAGCAAGAATACTAAATATTATTCGCATTAAACAATTTTCCTTTGAGATGAATCACATTTACTAGTCCTTATTTAAGTCACCTAGAATATGTTCTATAGAATTTTCAACTGTTTGATTCGCATATTTATCAGTTTCAATTAGCAGCATGAAAAGACCCATGCCATAAGAGAAAAAAATTGAGTGCCTGATCTTGTCTCTCTGAATCTCAGACATGAGATTCATCTGTCCACTAAATCATCAATAAGCAGCAGAACTCAAATGATAATGCAAATTTCTGTCAAATGCTAATAATAGCATTTAAAAAAATAATTTTCTAAAATGATGGGTTTAGGTGCTGCTTTACCAATTATGGAAAAAATTGTTCAAATTTTAAATTTGATCTTATGCCTTTCACTTAGACTGTAATGTATAATACCCAACATAAATACCTTCTACATACCTGTTATACTGCATATGCTTTCTAAAATTTTTACTTAGAAAGTCCTTGTAAAAGTCAGCCATTTCTTCTGCATTCAGTGTTGCTTTTTGACCTGAAAATAAGTTTTGGCATAACAATGTCAAGATAATTATTTGGATTAAAGCACTGGGTTCAGATGCAGGAGAGCTAGGTCTGACTCCTTGCTCCTACAAGCTTCCTCTGTAACCCTCATCAAGTTAATATGCTTTTATCTTCCAACTTTTTAAAAATTATCTAGGGAGCACAGCAGATTAAAAATACTGATCATCTTCAAGCTGGCATAACTCTTAAGCCCTTATTACTTGTGAAAGTGATTACGTTTATCAGGTCTTAGATTATTTAGGGAACTAGTGGATGCCTATGAAATAGTCCATAGATCTAGAATTAATTAGCCTTTGAGTAAAATTAATCTCTCGCAGGGCTGAAGTCTAAACAGCACCAGTAAGAGCACTTCCTAACTTAAATTTCCCCCCTAAAGCAAGTCAATAAATACAGAAAGAACACTATCCACGACTGACATGATATTTTCAGCTGTAATTTTTTTCTGTTGCTGTTGATAAATTTCAAGTAACTTATACCAAAGAGTCTATGCTCGGAGATGTCAGATTTATTACCAATATAGTAGACAATCACTTTGTGACAAAGCAAGTGCAAAAGATGACTTTGAATACGCCACTGTCATAAGCAGAACATAAGAGGAGATGGATTCTCTCCACAGAACATGAAAGGAAAACCTGTGGCTACAGCACAGATGTAGAATCCTGAGAATCAGCAAATATTCTCAACTCTACCAGATAATTCCTATACAAACTTTCTGGCACTTTCAATGTTTCTAAAATAAGGGTCAAATTTGAATGTCCCAGGGGACGTGGATATGATGAGGGAGGTGGAATTGTGATATTCAACTTGTTACTGTTCCAAAATGCATTTTAAAGCTCCTCAGACTGATCACAGAAATGTAAATTATCGACCAGTTCTATTTGTCATTATTTACAACTCTAATATATTACAAAGGATTAACATTATTAATAAGACTACTTAATACCTATAGTTAATTTGTGTCTTCATACTGGTATCAGCAGAACTGATCGTAGATTCACTTATATAAAAAAGTAAGTTACGTTCCAACTGTTCACGTATATTGTTATTACTCTTATTTTTATATACACACAGAGCTGTATTATAGAACAGTTAATCACCACATGCAGCCAATATAATCTTATTTCTAACGGATGTACATGCTTACTATTTTTTCTTTTATTTCTAGGGTATAAAAACAAAACAACCAAAACAAAACCAAAATGGCAATATAAAAGAAGCGTTTTCTAAACAACACGGAACTTTATTAAAATTATTTCTCAACCACACACTGATCACCAGGATACAAACAGAAAAGAAAAATAATGGTCTGTGATATACAGAACGTCAGAGCAGATGCTTTACTAAACTCAAACAGATCATTATTCTATGAACAAAATGTTCAACCGCATACTACAATGGCCAATTCACTGTTATTATGAAGGCATCTTGTTTTCAGTTTCACATAATGAATTAGAGAGGCAACTATTTTACAGCAACTGTGCTCAGGCAAAGACAGGCAGATAGCAGCTGCTGTCTCCTCAGAAGCTGTCTTAGTCTCCCTCAAGGAAAAAAATATTGTATTCATTGTACACACTATGGACCTGAAGCCAAAGAGTGTGAATTTATCCACCCAACCATAACATGCGCTTGAGGCAAACGCTCTGTATGTTTAGCTCAGCTAGCTCACTGGGTTAGGAGGTGTGAAAGGAAAAAGCCCCTTCCTCCTTAAGACTACAGAATGATTTTATTACTCGGCTAGGATTTCAGCGCATTCCCTCCAGCTGCGGGGAAGGAATTAGGGGAAGAACAGTGCAACAGATGATCTGACCCCCACATGCACGTCTCTGAAGAGCTCCTCCCCTCTTTTTTTATCGTGCTCCTGAAAACACTTCTAAATCCTACCCTCAAGATTTACTTGTGACAGAACACAAAAAGCACAAACTAATGAAATTCAAAGTCAAACAGAATTCAGAATGCATCCTAAACTATAAACAAAGATCTCACTAACCTGTTTCATCTCTCATTTCCAGACCCTTCGCTTTCAGTCTTGAATAAATAAATTCTTCTTTTTCCTAGAACATGTTTTTCCACATTAGAATCTGATGTACTCAGCCCTTGAAGTTAACCTTTTTATTTAATCACATAGCAGTGTAGTGCTTAATACTCTCTGAAATAACAAGCAATACTCATTCTACTTGTAAATGTCAACAAAACATTTTCCTGAATCCAGCAAGTTAAACCAGTACCTTTGTCACTTAGATCCTGCAACCTGGAGGATATGATGATCAAAGATCATCACAAATGATGGTGAATTACTGAACTGTTACTGTTCTTCCAACAAAATTCAGTGTCTCCTAACCAATGCTGCAATCAGGAAAGAGGACAGACCGCAACTGAAAAGTCCCCACTTCTAGCCTTGTTGGGATACACTGCCAGTCAAACAGGGCAGTGTCCTGGTTTCAGCTGGGATAGAGTTAATTTCCTTCCTAGTAGCGGGTATAGTGCTGTGTTTTGGATTTAGTATGAAAATAATGTTGATAACACACTGATGTTTTAGTTGTTGCCAAGTAATGCTTAGACTAAGTCAAGGACTTTTCAGCTTCCCATGCTCTGCCGTGCACAGCCCCAGGACAGCTGACCCAGACTGGCCAAAGGGTTGTTCCATACCGTATGGCATCATGACCAGTACATAAACTGGGGGGAGCTGGCCAGGAGGCAGCGATCACTGCTCGGGGACAGGCTGGGCATCAGTCAGTGGGTGGTGAACAACTGCATTGTGCATCACTTGTTTTGTATGTTCTTTTGTCATTATTATTTTTTCCCCCTCGATTCTCTCCCCCATCCCACTGGGCGGGGGGAGAGGGTGAGCGAGCCTGTGTGGTGCCCAGTTGCCGACTGGGGTTAAACCACAACAGGCGTGTCCCTCATTTACCCTTGGTGATTATACCTAATTTTTCACACTTATGAGAGAGCAAGAAGAGCTGCAGAATCATTTTCAACAGCCGCTCTAGTCACAGACAGGTCTCGCATGTAGGGTGGCTACAAGTTTATATTTTCAGTGCAAGACAGGAAAAAGGCAAGTATCATTATATGCCACTAAACAGCAATAAAATACACAGGCTCTTTAGTTTTGCACACCATTTTAAAGAAATGAATGACAAAAAAGTAATTTCCATGGAGACACCACGCGTATTAAAAGAAACGGTATCAATTACCAGCCAGTAGCGGTGGGCAGAACTGAACCCTACTTCACGGCAACCAAACCCCCCAATTTTGGGTGGGCAGGCAGGGGCCGAGCAGCGCCGGGTGTAGTGGCGGGCTCACCTGGCGGAAGGCACGGTTGTGCCGTGCCCAGAAGCGCTGGTCGCAGGCCTGGGCCTCCTGCCGTGCCTCCCTCAGCCGCCGCTCCAGGGGCGACTCCTCCGGGGGCACGTAGAAGATGACGGGCCGCAGGTTGGAGTGCTTGTCGGGGGGGCCGATCCAGTCGTTACGGGAGTGCGCAGGGGGGCTGAAACCCAGGCCCTTGAAAATACAGGCAGAATTCATTATGGCCACTTTAGCAGAGTTTTTGAAGAACATCCTGATTTGAAATAAATTCCAAAACTCCACACAACCTTAGAACATACAAGCAGAACAAATTCAGAAATTATGCATTCATTTACCCTGACCAAAAATGATGCGATACATTTAAAATTTACTTTTATTTAGAAATGCACTGCAGAGAAGATACCTTTGACTCTTTTCCAACAGACATGAATGACGATTTTTTTTAAAAGCAACTTTTTTCCCCCCCCATTTTTGTACCACTGATATTCCACTTCGTTAAAATACCTGATGGCAAGAACTAGCAAGTACCTAAGCCTTCCTAAGCGCTGCTTTCTCCGTGCGTCCTTGTGAACACGCACAAGCGTGCGGCTTTCCCGGCCGAGCTCGGGGCGACCCGGCTCCCGCAGCCGGTGCCTCACCGCCCCGGCTGGAAAAGCCCTTCACCCCCTCGGGCCGCAGCGCCCCGCCCGCCCGGCGCGGGAAGGCCCGCGGGGTACTGACAAGCGCTGGAGCCGCTGGAAAACACATCAGCAACGAGGAGCCGCGGGAAACGCGGGCTTTTATCGGGACGCACCCGCCCAGCGACTCGGAGAGTCACCGCGGCGGCAGCCAGGGCGGCCCCCCCCGCTCCCCCCCCCCGGCCCCCGCCCCCGCGGGCCCCCGCTGCCGCAGGGCTTGGGGCGCGCTCAGCCCTCCCGCCTGCTTTGAATGCGCTTTGCAAGGCAGATTGCCTGGGGCAGGGAGGACTCTGTGCCCCGCCGCCGCCCGACCGGGGCTCCAT